AGGGCACCTGAGAACAGGAGAAAGTGGGTGAAAAACAAAGTTGGCATCATAAAGAACAATGCAAATAATGAAAGTTGTTAGTTGACCAATTCACAAATACTATTGACCTCAACTGACTAGATGAATTTTTACAAAATACATAAGACGTTTATGTGCAGTACGTTCATATTGTATTTTTCATTATCATTCCCTCAGGATAATATTTGCTCTATTCACCCACCTATAGTATGATAATTTTCAATGGAAGGTAACTCATATACAAATTGAACTGAGAGCTAACGGCAACAATGGTAAATGTTAGAACTGAATTCTTACCGGGGTAATTTTTATTATCTATGCATCGCCATTGTGAATAATTGAAAAGTAAGATGATTCCATAAAATTTGTCCCCTGTAACAAGATAGCCTCTGCATATCGATAGGATGTACGAGCGAATAGGTGAACTAGTTCGTTAAATACTTTGAAATATCGGTAAACTGATCAACACTTCGCAGGTCTATTATATTGGCGTCCTTAAAATGCCATAACTAGTCATTCGGTTTCTTCATTATCAAGCGTCCTTATCTGCATAGGCGTAACTTGACTGATTTGAACTGTCTACACTGTTCAGTCAGCGTTTCAGTGACTAGAAAGCAAATGTGAGAGAGGCAACTTGTTCAAAAGAATAGATATTGTTCCCATTTACTCGACTAAGCAGTTTACTTAACTAGGTTAGGTTGAGTTCGAAGTGGGTGGGTCTATTCGATTTCCACCGCTACCTGTAAGGGTTTATTGTGACTCACACCTATTTACACTTAACCAAATAAACCCAGCTTCTTAACGAAGCCGATTAGTTTGTATACTGAGTGATCTTTCAGGTCAGGTCTTTCAGGTCTTTCGGTTCTGCCGAATTCACCTGATTCGGACCCCAGCAGCGCAGGTACAAAGTATATGCTTTGTTGTTCCATCATTTTTCCAAACAGAGGCGACATACACTGTCTTGCGACAGTCAGGCCTGTTATCGCAGTTCATCCTTACTGTAGTCCAACCACTACTTGGTATCAAGCTTCCAAAGGTCAATGAACAATTTTACCAGATTCTACCAGAAGTCCATAAATCTTCTTGCCATTCAGGTGTTGAATTTTTGTTGGCAAAGCCTGAAGCGATACCAATGACATGTTCTGCTTGCAGAACCCTCCTTTGCAAGGGGTCAGCAGCCTCATTGCCTTTCAGGCTACTAAAGCCAGAAATCTAGACCCCAGAGATTATCTGTTGAGTCTTTCTATCGACGAGAGTCGTTTTTGGCAATTTGCTCCTAATTTAAACTTTGCTCGATAGGAACCAAGAGCTTCCAACGCCGCTTGACTGTCCGAGAATATTTTTATTGACTTGTGTATGAGGAAGGATTTTTCTAATCTTTCCACACACAATTCAATAGCGGAAATTTCCGCTTGAAATACAGTCGTATAAGTTCCAAGGAAGGTTTATATCTTTGTCCTGAGTCTGTGACTGAAAACGCCTGCATCAGAACCAAAAACTGTTTTTGATCAATCTGTGAACAAACAACTATCTGCTTAATATTTCCTTCTTCCGGAGGATCCAGTCCTCTCTATTCGGGAACAATAATTTATAAGGCAGTTCGTAGTTGATAGTTGGAGGCATAAAGTTAGAGGTCATTTTCAGAATGCTGTGACTTTCAGTGTCAACCAACAGTCTGTTGCACTCTGCTTCAAATTGATTTGTGCAATTGGCAATGTGCACTAGTCTATATGTATTCCATCTAGCTTCTCTCTACAGAAAAATGTGAAGCAGAGGTAGATCTAGAAGGATCTTCATGGCCGCTGTACTGATGGCAAGACAAGTCTGTCTCTGTCAGCCAGAGAGCTTCGCCTGTGCTGTTTTCTGTAAAGCCTTTGGCCACCAGGCAATGGGGAATGTCCTCAGTTTGGGTTCTTAGAGCAAATGTAAGTTTGAACAAAATGAAGTTGAGTTCAATTCATGAGTTTTCCGAATTCACTTCGAAAAGTATTCAAATTGATGTTTCAAATGTTGGGTTTCGGTTCTTAAAGGGATTTGTTTCTCATTCACATATTGGCAACAGCGCCTATATAAAGTTGAAATAATTTATACGTACCTAGATATTCTACTTCAAAAAAGGAAAATTATCTTTATGAATCAACAATTATGGCAAAATATAAATAATAGTTCAGTACCACCTCCCCAAGTCACATAAACAACAGTTGTTTTGTTATTTATCTTCTATATAGAGGAAGATAGGTTGAGTGCACAAAATGTCATATATCACAGAATGTCTCAGAACTCGGAACATAAGTAAACAGAACAGCACGCCTCTGAAATATGTCATCTATGTTTGTCTCATCCAGGTAATAGATTCATTATTCTTCATTAGCTATAACCGTTGCTGCCAAATGGTGAAATAAACACGAATCCCTTTAAATGTTGAATTCATCATTTCATTCCTCTCTTTTAAGTATTTAAATAATTCTTTAAAGAAAAATGTTGAAATGATAAGTTTAAAATGCGTTGTTTTGAAGCTCTTTTATGTGAACTACTTGATCGTCATGATCATTGGTCTGACAATCATTACATAAATCCAATGGATTCGTTTGGGACCTAGTTTTCCCACAAATTCTCCGACATATGGACAATCTTTTTCAGTATAAAACTTTTCCAAATGAGCATTCCACGTTAGTTTTTATCAAGAACAATGCCAAGATATTTCACTGAACTGAGTTGGTGCGCGAGTACTGAATCAAGTTGTTTACACCGTTTAGGTAACTAAATTCAGTTACTTGATTCAGTAATGCGGTTGAAAATTTTCTTTGTATCCTCATATTCTATCACTCAGACAATATGAAAATTCAGCTGCCCAAATTCCATAAAGCATGAACTCATCATTCTTCACATGGTTCACACATCTGATTATTATTTTTAAACCAAAAGTGATCAGGAAAACAAACTCAGGAATTTTAGCATGACATGAAAATACTTGTAGCATATTTTCTACAACTTTCACCCTTAGTACTACCTGAGGAGGCGATTTTCGTTAATTTTTTCTATCATTAAACAATAACAAACTGCTAAATGTATTATTATTCTGGTATAAAATTTTAGATACGGTCAAGCTCTATCTCCTGTACTATTTTGATCGTTATGAAGGCCCAGTTACTCAGCAATCTTTTTACTATATTCGTGATTTTCTTTCGACATATTGCAGATTATCGTCACCATTAGTACGTGTGTAATTAAACGGAGATTACCCGTTACGGGTGGTGCGCAAAAAATAATGCTTTTGATTGCTTCAAAGAGATTAGTTGTTTTCAGATAAGATAATCCTTCTGAGTATATTTCGAGGGCTTTGACGATTTGAAGATGTAATGATATGTTGAACCTTTGAAATTTATGGAAATATTGAGAATTTATGGAAAAAATGGTGGGGTGATACAAACGTATTTCTCCATGAAATAAATTAAAACTTGTGAGTGAGTTGTATATGTATACGGAACAAGATATTTCACTTCAACTTGATTCCTATGGGATGGTATCGTACCTATCGGTAAAATCAATCTGTGAGACTGAATATCATCATTAAAAAATCATTTGAATTATATAGAAATAAATTGTTGACTTCGAATTTGAATGACTAGAAAATTGAAAAAAAAGTTGAAAGAAATGATAGTTTGAAATTATGCAATAAGAAGCATTTTATTTCGATGTCAATGTGAGAGCCTAGATCTTAGCTTTTATATTTGTCAGTTGCAAGTCAAATTAATGGGTTTCACCCAAACTGCTGAAAATGTTCCATAAATATCTTGGCAGGCATCTGTTTCTTCAGTTCCAATCTCAGAAATGTCTACATTGCCACTGATTCTTCATTTATGTCATCCAACTGGCCTGGTAATTTATCCGTCATCATATCAATATTAGTGGAAGATAATCCTCATCAAATATCATTTTCAGTTATTCACCAACTTCAAACTTTCAACAAAAACATTTAATATTTTTGTCACAACAAAAATTCCTATGAATAAATAATGTTGTGGTACAAAAGTTATTGCATATTATTCAATTTTGTTTGCAGGAAATGATTATCCTAAGTTGTTTCTAGGGTCAAATTACCAGACAGATTATTATCACAAAATTTATTACACATGGAGATGAAAAAATAACTCCATTGATTATTTTTCATCATTTATTATAGAATACGATTTTATAATTGAAAAATATTTCAAAACTATTAGCTGTTTTCAATATTCGACTGATACGCATTCTTTTCAATTAGCCCAGCAAAAATAAATTGGATGAACTAATTCATTTACATAGAACAAGCCATCAATCTTGGAAGAATTGACAATACCGAAATTATAAAATCATTTTAACGATGTCTAATTAATGCGTTGAGAGCAAATATCTTCAAGAAGTTCAGATAATTTGTTCACTCTGGCTCGATCTTTCATTTAATCTCGATTGATGAATTCAATTACTTGATCAAAGTATTTTGAATCAGTCAGTGGCATTTCCAGAGAAAATGGAAATGCTCTCTACTAATTAATTCTGGAAACTGTATCATACAAAGTTTCCCTTGTTTTCCAATTACACTATCCCAGAATNTGTAATGAGGACTAGCCAACGGCTCTTCCTAGAATTTTGAGTTATCAATCTCCATATTCCTTTCCGTAAAAAAGTTTATATAGGAAAAATATTAACATCTGCAATGTATTTCGATTTTAGAAGTTCACATAATAATTCCACTGACAAATATTAGAGACTAAGAAAATCCGTGAGTATCCCATAAAGTAAAGTTTTCCTAACAATTCTTGAATTCGATAATATATCACATCATGTATCAGATTATACTTGAATATTTCAAGTTCAAAGAGTTATATATTCTAGATCTTTACCAGGATTGTACTGCACTGGTTTTTTTTATCGATTGATTGAATATAGTTTCAATTAAATTTTTTACAAATGTTAGTTTTTGACTCGAAATATTCATTTACCTAAAACGATATCTTCAACTTCTCCTTTTCTGTCTGGCAATTTGATAGAAGTTATTCTAGCACCATAATTTATTACTTGTATGGTAATTTTGTTTTTGTTTCTCCAGGTGAACCTCTTTATTGCGTGTTCCACACCATTTTTATCCCAATAATATCCAAAGACATCTTCAGTTAGATTCAATACACCGTTATCAAATATTTTCTCTTGAACTGTTTCATTGACGCCTTCATGAATTTTGACCAATTTTTCAGAAATGTTCTCAGAAATTTGACTGCTTTTGCGGGAATTGTTCTCCATAGAATCCCTTGAGAAATGACATTTGAATTTTGAAATTATGACACAAACTCACATATTTTCCAAGTGACAAGTTGAACCTAAACCATTGAAAGTGCTTGCGAATGAAGTCGAGATTACATACAAAAAAACAATTAGCAAGATGGAAATTGTCAAAACACATTCTGAAATCATTGGTGAACATCGAGTTGAATTCAATGATACCTGAATGATTGCTACCGGCTGACGGTATGCTCTAGTACAGAAAAAAAAATTGGTGAGTGCATAGGCTTGGGATGTGGAAGTTGAGCAAACCGGCCATCGGATGCCTGCTTCCACGTAGCCCTGCTGGATACGGGATTGACAGAATCACTTGTGAAATTGTTATTCCCTAATCCTAAGGTGTGTACCCGTGTCGAGAGGATGAATGACACTGAGCCTATCAGCTGTCTCTACGGAACCTCCGAGATACCGGGCGCCCTCTCTTCGTAGCATCGCCCTGTCACGGTAATGCGGGGCTTTGCCGGGATTGATTACATTTTCCTAGCTACTCGTGAGGACTTTTATGGGCAGAGTGAACTTAAAAATTCTTCCTGACGCTGAGTCCACAGTGGAGAGCGTATGACTCCAACTGACCTCCCTGTAAATTCAGATCAGGAGCGAGAGCTTCTTAACTCTCCAACTCTTGATCCAATAACTGAATCTAAAAAAAGGTTTGGTGATGAAGCCAGGAGAAGACCTATTCGTCTCCTCAAGGGCAGGGTATCTTATATGAAACCGCCTTGCATCAAATTCATGAACGGCGCACGTAGAATCTGTCTCAGGTGGAGGAACAAATCCCTCATGAGCAGGTTAGCAAACGTTTGCGATCATGTGATGATTCACCAAAACCAGAGGCGAAAAAGCCTACACGTTTGAATCTAAGGCAGGGGCTCCAAACTACGGAACTGAAAGTTCCATTTTTCTTGGAACGTTCTGCATTCACTGTCGATTTTTCGCTTCTTTTCCATACTAACAAATCACACATAAAAACAATAAGTCAAATCAAAATACTTTTATTGACGGGTGTTACTTTATTTCACAATAGACAGTTTCGCTTCCTTCGCCTTTCCTACGCAGACTAACTCGCAGTTGCGCCGCTAGCCTTTTTATATGCAAT